TTTTCTATAGCATCTGGTTCTCTCTCTCTCTCTCTGGTTTTTTTTTTTTTTTTTCCCCTCGACGTGACCCTGGAAAAAGGAAGGAAAAACAGCCAAGCCGCTGGGGAAAAAGAAACAATTCCAACATACATAAAAAACACCCCCCTACCGCATTTGATCCAATGACACCTAAATAACGGCCAATCCCCCCAACCCAGCGCGTAGTGAGTCCCTTATTATTTCTTTGTCTCTGATGTGCATCCCGTTATGGAGAATGGGGCACGTATTCTTGTGGTGGGTTGACAGCGTCAATTTCCCAGCCGCCCTAGCGGTTATTGCCAATATAGCGTTGAGAGAGCGCGGGTCCCGCTTGCGACTATTGGCTGTCGGTTTGGCGCCTTTTTGCTTTTCTTTTTGTTTATTTTTCTTCTTTTCGAGCAAGAGAGGGGGGGGAAACATGAAGCCAAGGAAAGTCATCTGCACGACAGCGATCAGACCTTGCAAGGAACTGTGAAACAGGCACGGGTGTCTAAGCTGTAAAGGTCCGTGTCTCTGCGTGCGAAGCTACGGCAGCTTGGACGGTTGTTGACGACCATTGAGGCTTTGAAGTCCATATTGTAGGGTAGGTTGGGAGAACTTGAAAATCTTGGGACTTGAAGAGAGTTGTTTACGTTATTCCCCATCGTCGAAATTCAGTGTGATGGGCGCTAGGACCAGGCTTGGGCTCTGAGAAGTGAATGAGTATTTGGGTTACATGTAGAAATGGCTGAAAAACACACTACAAGGCCATTGCCTCACAAAACGACAAGCAGCCAGTTTACGCCCCATTATCCTGATCATCAATTGCAACTCTTACCCTACACGGGACGTTGCGCCATAGTTCTGCTGTTTATACACATGATAATGCCAAGTAAATGAAAGAGCGTCATGTTCCCCATATCCAAAATCTACCCGCCCATTTTTAAAAACCCCTAACCCACTTGACATGTCCCCAGAATCTAAAAGTCAAACTCTGGTCGGAAAATGTCAGGGTCAACGCCAGCGACCGTCTTCTCCGCCAAGTCTCTGCGTCCCATCTGAGTAAACACTCTCCTGAGAGTGTCATACAGCGTGCTGCTGCGGTTCTGTGCAGACATTCTGTCAATGACCTCGTCCACGTTGCTGCCGGCATTGTCACCGAGGATTTCGTGGGCCTTGCTTCGCCCAGACTTCTCAATGGACTTGTGCATCTCCAGGGCAGCCAAGAAGTGAGAAGCAGCCTCCTGATGGCAGTTGATGTTGATGCAGCTTACGCCGAGGTTGTAACGAGCCCGAACAAAGTTGGGAGATAGGGAAAGCGCATGCTCGTAAGCAGCAATGGCTTCTTCTGACCGTCCGCTATTCGCCAGCGTGGCACCAAGTCGGTTCCAAAGCAGATGAACCTGTTCTTGTTGGTTTGATGTACCCAGCTCTGATGAATGTAGTGCCGACTGGAAGCAGTCCACCGCCTTGTCGTATTCCTCCGCACCATAGAACAATACGCCCAGACCAACTTGGACATCGGGATCCATGTGCTCTCCATCAGGACTGAGACGAGCAGCCTCAATGAACAGATTCGTCACCTTTTCGTGAAGGATTTGGCGGTCAGTGAAGCCCATCTCGGAGGCTGGGTGTAGATTCTTGGGATCCAAGATGCTAGGGTACTTGACCGAGAGCCAGCGCTCCAGTGTTCTATAGGCAGTGCTGTCATACCCCTCGTTGGTGTACGATACCGCCAAGCCCATCAACGCTTCCAAATTGTCGGGATCCAACTTTAATGCCTGTTCCATGGCACGAATTGCAGCCGTCTCTTTTTCGTTCTGAGCCTGGGCTTTCCCCAAGTACACCCATGCCTCGGTGTGGTTAGGGTTTTGCTGTACGGCGGCTTCGAATGCCAAGGCCGCAAGAGATAGGTTCCCGCCCTCCTTCATAACCCGTACACCTTCGTCGAACGCGTTCTTTTCGTCGCGGAAGAAATTTTCTTGTTCGAACAGGTAGCTCTCGACGACAGGATCACCGAATCGACCCCAGTCTCCCATGGAGAAGTCGGCGGGGATGTTGTCGTTGCTCCATTCGGTATCGAACTGGTCGAAAAAGGTATCGTCGTTGACCATGGATCTAGCAGCAGCCGTCTCAGCTTGGATTCCTTTCCAGAGGGATTCGAAGTCACCAAACTCATTAGTTTCAGATTGCATTGCTTTGTCAATCTCATCAAGTTCTCGCTCAGCCGCGTTGGCTTCGTCGTGCTCCTTCTCCTTCTCCTTGAGCTCTTCGGCCTCCTGGTCCTGGAGCTCGAGTTGAGCAAACTGCTCCTCCCATTTGCTATCGTCCAACTCTATCAACTTGCCTTTACCTTTGCCCTCGGTTTGCTGTTGCTGTTGGTGCTGCTGGAAAGGTTGGTTCTGATACATGGGTTGGAACTGGCCATAGCCCATTCCCATATTCATCATGCCAACTCCCATCATTGGCCGTTGGGGCATTTGGCTGGACAAGTTGGCATTCTGCATTGGACTGGACCTCGCTGATGATGCTTGACCATTCAGCTGTTGGAATCTCGCAAATTCATCCGAGGAGAAGTGAGCGCCAGGCGGAGGCTTAAAAGCCGACTCGATGCCTGGCTGACCGTTGAAGTCTTGAGCCCACGACGGCGACGCTGAGCCGGCGCGCATCGGGGCATGTTGTGCTGGGTTCAGAGCAGGTCCTGCTTGCATGGGAAATTCTTGCTGGAGGTTCGGGGCGCCATTGAGGAAGCCATTCATCATCTATAAGGACGTAAAAGGGTTCATCATTAGTCCGTGGCGGATCGACACCAAATACGAAGGGGCGGAGGAATCCGTACCTCGTCCTGGGGAGCATTGGCAGCCTGGCTTCGAAAGCCACCCATCTGACCACCGGGTCCTCTCCCAACGAGTCGGTCTCGCTGCAGAGTCTTGTCATCTTGGACGTGTTTTTGAAACTGGCTCAAAGGATTCGCTGCCGTGGAGCATTCGGCTCCTCCCATAAACGACATGATGTCCGGAATTTGCTAGTATAGGCGGGGTATGCGGTCGAGGGTGACGGATGAAGCGGCAGCGTTTCTCGCTGGGGATGAGTAGGTCAGCCTCAGCAGCAAGATGAGAGAAGAATTCAGAAGTGTGCGCAAGATGAAAGAGGAAGAGAGAGACGAATGTCCCGGCTGGAGATGAGTGCAAGCACAGATTTGGGCTTGGTCGACATGGTTTGTCAGGACGTCACCTGCAGCTCGGCCTGTGGGGAAAAAAGTACCGAGGCAGTCCGGCTCCGGTTCAGAAGGATACAGAAGCGTCCCACGGCGCACTGTAGTTTCTCCGCCGGCCGCCACTCCTGTAAAGCCCAACAGTGGTAGACACGTGACTGCGGGGCGGGCATTGGGGACAGTTGACGCTAACAAGGCGGTTGGTCAAAAAAATGAAGGGGGCGGCCTTATCGATAAGCATAGAGAGCCTTTTTTTTCCCTCCAGGCTTTTTTTTCCCATGACAGCGAGTCGTGACCAAGTAACATCCGATACCGCGGTCTGCAACACAAACAAAGACCAAATAGTCAAAATGCTCCGTCAAGTGTATGTCAATGCTGCTCATCTGACTAGATACTTAGCTGAAACGACATCCAAATAAACTGACCGTCGCCAGAAAACCTCGCAACGCCCGCTCAAAGCGAGCCCTTGAAAAGCGCGAACCCAAAGCCGTCGAAAACCCCAAGCAATGCCTCTTCCTCCGCGGCACGTCTTGCTCTCAAATCACCCAAGACGCTCTCACCGACCTCCATTCACTCCGCCTCCCTCTTGCCAAGAAATTCACCAAGAAGAACCCCATCCACCCCTTTGAAGACGCCTCCTCCCTCGAATTTTTCTCCGAGAAGAACGATGCCTCCCTCCTCGTCTTTGGGAGCAGTCAGAAGAAGCGGCCTCACACCCTGACGCTTATCCGCACATTTGGCTACAAAGTCCTCGACATGTTGGAGCTATACCTCGACCCGGAGACCTTCCGAACCATGGCGCAATTCAAGAATAAGAAGTTTGCCGTTGGTCTGCGGCCGATGCTCCTCTTTGCGGGCACGGCATTTGAGAGCCCCGTCAGCAACGAGTATACTCTGGCAAAAAGCCTGCTTCTTGATTTCTTCAAGGGCGACCCTTCGGATAAGATTGACGTGGAGGGCCTGCAGTACATTGTTTCCGTCACGGCGGAGGATGCTACGGGCGACGGGGACGCCAAGCCTGCTATTCATCTGCGCTCCTACATGATTCAGACGAAGCGTAGCGGACAGAAGCTGCCCCGTGTGGAGGTCGAGGAGATTGGGCCGAGAATGGACTTGAGGGTTGGTCGTGTCAAGGAGGCGGATGAGTCTATGCTCAAGGAGGCCATGAAGAAGGCTCGCGGTCTGGAGGAGCGGACCAAGAAGAACATCACGACGAATTCGATGGGTGATAAGATTGGTAGAGTGCATTTGGGCAAACAAGACCTCAGCCAGCTGCAGTTGAGGAAGATGAAGGGCTTGAAGAGATCGAGAAATGATGAGGAGTTGGTAGAAGATGTTATTGCTGATGACGATACTAAGAGGATAAAGCAGTAGGTGTGGGCTTGAAGGCGGAAAAAAAGTTCTCTTGCATTGGGGGTCTGGAGTTTCGGCGTCTTAACACGTATCTAGCTGCCCTGGCAGGATCCGGAACCTGCGGCTGGGTATGCATTGACAAGTTTGGTTGTTGAAGAACTGTTTTTCCCCTGTACAGTCTGTGTCTCGCCAGCGTAACTGGCACTGTAATATGATTGGATTGATTCACCGTGCGGCTATACTCGCTAGTCTATACAAGTTCCTTGCACCACCCTCCATGCATAGGTAAATAAATAAACGTCACGCCAGAAACAAAATATCCCCCCCCAGGCCACGCCAGACGTCATCCGAACTCATATCCCATAGAAAACCCAAACGCCGGGCCGTTGGTATTAATATTATCCCACATTGTCCATCCCGCTTGCCTAGTGACGGCGATACTCCTACAAAACCGTGCCATCTGTGAGTCCTAATCAAGAGGCACAGCCATAAGTTCCAGTTCGGCCTGTGCCGACATGGACGCAGTTGCTTGCGAATTATTCGTCAGTCTGGAGAATAATTCAATATGGCTAACCATGGTATCACCGTTTCCCGTGTTCGACTCGGCTTCCTTTTCATAATCCACGCCCCAAACGTCGGATGTTATCGTCCCTCCATCCCAGAGAGCAATGCGCACTGGCCACTCCAGATGCCTCCACCATGGAGAGCCCGATTCAAATAGGCTCACTAAGCCCATGACCTCACGGCGCGTAACGTCCTCGAGCCACCACACTCTATCCATGCGCTTGAGAAGCGCAAAGAAGCAAGCCAGGATGGCGAGAGACCGGGGCCGTTTCTCGTCAACGACCTCGACGAATCTTCGGGATACACTAGCGGGAAAGGCCAGCGCAGCTGGGGGAAAGGGATTCTTGTGAGCCCAATTCAGAACACTGACGGCGTGGAAGTAGCCCTGACTGGTGGCGTTAACATTTTCTTTGCTTTCATTCGCAAGCTCGTCGTCAAGACCATCCAGAAGATGACCAAAAAAGGAATTAGGACCGAGCGGGTTCAAATCTAGCTGAAAGCTTGGCTGCGAGTCAATGACAGCCTGAACGATGCTGCTATTGCGTATCCAATGCCAAGATGTTGCAACAACGGTCTTGACGCCTTGGAATGCATGGAACCAAGCCATAGGTGTGGTGTATCGACTGGCTCCATCGTTACCAGTCGTTTCCGTGTCATCCTTGACGAAAATTCGCTGTGCGGTAGCCTGAAAAGCAATGAGCGAGGCAGTCAGAAAGAGAGCCTCTGCATTGTCGGCCGTAATGCCATTATTCAATGTTTCAACATATGCCGCTAGCGCCGACGCAGAATACGCATGTGATGCCTGAACTAGGGCCTTGTCGGTGGGCTCCTGTGATCGCAGATGCAGAGCTGCTACAGAGAGCATGGCGTCGGCCAAGTAAGTCTTGCCTCGGAAAGCCATATCAGGCACAGCCTTTTGCCAGATATCATGCGTGGCGGGCGAGTTGATGAGCAGCGTTTTGCATGTGCTGGTGGTGTATTGATGAAGAAGCCGCAATTCCAGTAGCCTGTCCACAGGCCTCGACGTATCCGGCTCAGGAGAGGCGCCATTGGGCTGAGGCTGAGAGACCATGGGTGTCGCCTGCCTCTGAGAGGGCGACGATACGGACGGTGAAGGCTGTGGGACACTCAGACTGGCAGCTTGCGCAGAGGCTGGAGGAGGAGTGGTTGCCGAAGGTGATGCCGCAGTAGCAAGCTCGTCGAGAACAACTGGGCTTTCAAAGTCACACATGACGCCGTGCTTGGAACAGTTGCCACATCTTGGGTGCACCTCATCACACTGCAAGAAGGATTCCGCATGTTAGAATCTGGGACTATCAATGCATACATGAGCGACGGGTGGAGGGCAACTCCGAGGGCGTAAAACTGCACGCTTCTCAGGGATGGAGGCCAGTCTCACCTTGATCTTCCGGTTTTTACATCTGCGACACCCAGCGCGAGATTTCTTGTGTGAACGCCGGGGTGGCATATCGAAATCACGTCTCGCTAGCTAAATGATTGAGCTGCAAGCTTGACGACAGAGCGTGCTGGCAGCATGGCCATGAGAGTTGCGTGGGAAGCTGGGTGAGGTGCCTGGGTGGACAACCACCGTGCCTCGCGTCGGTGCCGGAACAGACGCGCGAGAATGAATGCTGGAGCGAGCGGCGGCGACTCTCTTTCAAAAGGGATTTCATCCGTAGCTTTGCAAGAGCTTGCGCTGTCGAAGGAGTCAAAAATCAAAAGAAGCAGCAAAGAAATCGACACGCCTTCACTTGAGCTCTTTGAGGTTTTGAGACGATAGCATGTGCTTGCGGAGCACAGCCACGTACTGCGGCGGCCATTGGTGCATGTGCTCTCAATGTTAGCCTATCGGTAGCCACGGAATCCACGCACTTACTGCGTACCAGTGGCCCTGTTCCTTGCATCACTGCTCTGAGGACCACGCAAGGAAAATGCAAAATACATACAGTCTACGGAGGAATAGCAGAGCATAGTTTGCTTACTTTACCAATTAGTGTTGTAGGACAGGGCACGATAGCCATATACGTAGCCTGCTCAACTGCTTTGCGCCTTCCACTTAAGCTATTAGGACTCCGTACCTAGCAGGTACTATGATGGTACGTGAATTCAGCAAAGCTCCAATATGGGCCCAGAATGGGACCAGTGCGCCGGGGTGCCTTGACACCGAATACCGCGCATTGTGTACACCAACGATTCTCGACCATGGCAGCACGTTGGAAATTAGTCAATTGGCATGTCTTAACACGGGGTGAAAACATGTAAAGACTCGAGCAACAAATCGAGAAGAGGGCTGGGAATATTAGGTTCTGGCTGCTGACTGCTGCGGACATATTGTAGAGTGATAACTACTAGGCATCTACCTAGTAGTAGGTACCACAGTGGGAGGGGAGGCACTGGGTATAAGTGCTCCCTGACGTCTTCTCTTCGTCCTGCGTGCCTTCCGTCGTGAAAGCTTTCTCGTTCCTGCTGCTTTCATCTGGCACTCTGCAGTTCCACGGTCGAAAAATTGACGAGATGATTCCAAACCCCAGCCCGACACTTCATCCAGAAATCAACCAATAGCCACCATACCTTTATTGCTGCAGGCGTCAAGTTTGCCTCAATTCGGAGATGGGCAAACAGCCCGACGGGCTTCCTCCGCCGGACTGGCAAATACCTACCTACTCCGCATAGTCTCCACTGCCTTATAAATCGGCACCCTTAGATGTCCGACAGACTTGACAGCTTCCAGAGCCTACGCAGATTGGCCACGGGTCTTCAACATTGCTACGGCAGCATGCGTCTTGGCAAGGTACCGGTAAGGTATAGTTGCCTATGACCAAATATATGATGTGCTGAAATATTTCAGGATATAACTACTAGTGTGATACAAGGTTCGCATCCCTCCTATTCGTTGGATCAAACGCTTTTGACCTCGATGCATCATGTTTCCCGACATGCCCTGTGGTACCTCGCAGTACGAAAAGTCGGGATTACAAACTTGTTCTCACATTTCACATTTCACGCCCTGCGTTTTTAAAGATATCGGAGCAGCGTCAGCATTGCCTTACCATTCAGCATATGTTGGCCACAAGGAGAGACAAAGAGCATTTAAAACCAGATAAGACAGGGTCCCTGATATCGAGCTCTATACAATAATATACTTCAGTATATTAATGTGCACTTGTTCATAGGCAAATATTCTGCCATAGACTGTAAGGGGTGCCACGTGATGCGCACGCGTGCTGCTTCATCGTACCCTTCCCTAAACTAATGTACTCGGTAATAATGCAAGAGAAGACGCATTCAGTTCCAACCATAAGCCGTTGCTGCCCGTGCCTCATCAGCCTGGATGGTGATTGCTTGTGCCGGGTGCGAGGCAGTCGGCGGAGAAGTCACGGAATACGGAGTAAAGGCTTCAGAGGTCCGGAGAAGGAAGGCGTACAAGCAAACTGGCCAGAGTTGCTCAGGGATCTTCTCGAGCACCCCGCGTACCCAATGAGGAGTTGGACAGTGGTGCGGTACTGTGACACCACTGGACGTACGGAGTATGTATTATTACATGCATCCCCCTCTCTCTTGTGCTCTTTCAGGTCAAGGAAAAGGCGTGGAGAAAGCCAAGTGATTGCTCAGCCAAGTTAGACCAGTTGACAGCACCCAGTCCGAAAAGGCACACTTGTGGGTGCGAGGCATGGCATCCATCCAGACAGGGACCGGCAAAGGTGCATGCCGAGTTGCCAACCAGGTGCAGAATGCGGTGTGCCAGTGATGGGGTTGTTCAATATTGCTTTGTCATTTGGTCGCTCTTGCATGCCAGATCGGCTACAATGGAAGGTTCCATGGGCTGACGGACGTTTAAACTCAGCGCGGAAATCAGCGTCAACAGTCGGCCTGTCGATCTGCGCAAACAAGGGGCATACCGGCCCTACTAGCTAACGTCAGGCGGCAACCACGCCGGAAGCGCTACGTTTAGCTTCGAAGTCAACTGTTCTCTGGGCGTCTCGGGCTCGATGACACAATTTTAAGCTTGGTGACGGCAGAGCTTGACTCGGTGGATCGCAGCCCGAGTGGAACTCAAAATCCGGAATCCAATTTTCTCAGCATACGCCGTCTCACCTGGTATGCCTGCCCCTGCCAGCCAGGCGTTACTGTATTACTCAATCCCATATATATACCAACGGCCGGACTCCACCACGAGCAGCCCCTCGAGCCCCTCTAGTTCCAGTTGGAAAATTCTATCTGTCCTCTGACGGTACATCTTTCCTGCTGTCCTCACTTCCTGTGTACTCATTGAGAGTACGAGCTGTTCCTGTCCGAGAAAACCTGGCTGTCGCTTTTAGCAACCTGCTGTCTCACTCGATCAACACCGCATTGCTACAAGCTAGGCCGACGACGGAAACGGCCCCTCCATTGCTGTTTGTTGCCCCTCCGCTTATCATATCAGCTCTGGCGCCGCCAGACCAAAGGAAAAAAAAAACAAGGCAAGAGCGAGGAACAGAAGAAGAAATACTCCGTGGAGAGACGGGACTTCAGCAGCCATCTACCACCGGGCAGACCAGCTTCCCTCCCTTCAATCACCATACTCTAACCGAGGGAGACAAATACAGATCACCGTCACTCAATCAAAATGTCTCCTCCTGTCATCTCTGACCCCGTCTCGACGCCCCCGCGTCCCCCGACACCCGTGCACGCCTTCGGCACGCTCGCCGTACATGCCGGCTCGCCCCACGACCCTCACACCGGCGCTGTCATTGAGTCCATCTCCCTCTCCACGACTTTCGCCCAGACGGCCGTCGGCAAGCCTGTCGGCGAATACGAATACTCGCGCTCCTCAAACCCCAACCGAACCAACTTCGAAACGGCTGTCGCTGCCCTTGAGCATGCCCGCTATGCCCTGGCCTTCTCCTCTGGCAGCGCAACCACCGCTACCATCCTGCAGAGCTTGGCTGCCGGCAGCCATGTCATCTCCGTCTCTGACGTCTATGGCGGCACCCATCGCTACTTTACCCAGGTGGCCAAGGCCCACGGCGTCAAGGTGACCTTTACGCCCGAGATTGAAGTTGATATCAGCGAGCACATCAATGACCAGACCCGCCTTGTCTGGATCGAGAGTCCTTCTAACCCTACTCTTCGCCTCGTCGATATCCGCGCTGTCGTCACTGAGGCCCACAAGCACGGTATCCTCGTCGTTGTCGACAACACCTTCTTGTCCCCCTATGTACAGAACCCTCTTGACCTCGGTGCGGATATTGTCGTCCACAGTGTCACCAAGTACATCAACGGCCACAGCGATGTGGTCATGGGCGTAGCCGCCTTCAACAGCGATGAGCTCAAGACCCGTCTTTCTTTCCTCCAGAACGCCATTGGTGCCGTCCCCTCGGCGTTCGACTCGTGGCTCGCCCACCGCGGCCTCAAGACCCTGCACCTCCGTGCTCGCGAGGCTACCCGCAACGCTACTGCTGTCGGCCACGCCCTCGAGGGCTCTCCCCACGTCATTGCCGTGAACTACCCCGGACTGGACTCTCACCCCCACAGAGCTATTGCTGTCAGACAGCACCGTGATGGCATGGGCGGCGGCATGTTGTCGTTCCGTATCCGCGGCGGCCATGCTGCTGCCGAACGATTCTGCCGCGTCACCAAGATCTTCACCCTTGCTGAGTCTTTGGGCGGAGTCGAGTCCCTCGTTGAATTGCCCAGCAGCATGACCCATGCTGGTATTCCCCGTGACCAAAGAGAGGCCGTTGGGGTCTTTGACGACCTTGTCCGATTGAGCTGCGGTGTTGAAGATGCCGAGGATCTCAAGAACGACGTGCTTCAGGCTCTCGAGCTTGCCGTCAGGGAGTCTGCCAAGAACGGACTCTCCAATGGTGTTAACGGACAATAAAAAGTGAATTTTCCTTAAGCGTGATTCTCTCTTCTCGCTTTGGCGGAAGACAAAACATAATGGGTTTATGAATTAGAGTTAGAGACAGACAGAGCCAAGGGCACAATCTGCAATGCATGGTCGCAAAAGTCAAGTCGATACTCAAACGTATCGCACAGTTTGTTGGCAGAAACGAGCATAGTTTTCATTTTCCATTGAATTAGTAACGATTGACACATATTATATATATATATATATATGGACATGGCGTCGCAACAGCGCTCGGGTATTTCCTTTTGCAGTAGGCGACAAATTGGGTCAAGCCGTGATCAGAGCTTGATATAAAATAGTAACAATAGAGCAGGTTGCCGTTGTGAAAGTCCCTGTTGCACTCTGTACTCTGATCCCCCTTCCTCCTTTCTTTCCCCCTTTCTACAACTTGTAATAAAATATATTTACCTATTAAAAAATAAACGTGAATATATGAATTAAATTATGAAAATAAATAAAATGAGGGCTAGCTCAAGGGCATCTAGTAACACTGTATTTTAGCCGTACCTAGGCCAGGGAACCGTAAGTAACCACGCAAGACACCATAAACGATATCGATACGCGAATATATATAAACATCTCATGGACTGGCCTTACCTGCTCCTGCACGTAAGCGTCGCGGAAGATAATAGTAAGCTTAAAGGGGAAAGAGGAACAAATTCCCCCCTAAACTTGGTCAAAACCCCTTTCCTATCCGAAGTGTATCCGGTACGGACCCGTACAGGGGCCTTATAGACCTGAGCTCTAGGCTCGAGTCTTATAATAATAAATACATATAAATATATACGAATATACGCGAATGGATATTAACATATGATAGTATAACCAAAATACAATGTTACTAGATGCACTTCGTCCGGCTTGTTTTTTTTTTTTTTTCATAATTTAATATTATAGTATAACGCGTAATGGCTAAATGCTTGATCTGGCTAAAAACTTTTTGCCTTCCACTATATTAATAGTTCTCGTGGTGGATATTATATTGGATCCTATGAATCCTCCAATGTAGGCATGTTGAACAAGTTGTCTGCGTACTCGTTGGCCATGCTATTTCCAGCTGTCCACTCACTTCGTCTTCGATGAATCTCATTCATGCCTTGACAAGCCTTTTCGGCAATGTAATGTAGTTCATCGAGAGTCCCAGGATTGCAATTATGAAATATGCCGTCAATGCTCTTTTGCCATTCCGAAGTGGTATTATCCACGGCAGTTTGGTGAGCATTCGTATCGTATTCATCAACACGCAATGGCCGGGTTCTGGGCTTGAGTACGTGTACGAGCTCGTCGTCCTTGGCGTCGTGGGGGAAGAAGTCGACTGGATTTCCCGAAGGCATGTTGGGTTGGCGAATGCCCATGACGACTTCGACAAATCGCTGGGATACGCTGCGACCCAGGCCGCACGGGTCGATGAGATCAAATTCGGGCTGCGGCTGAGTGGACACGTCTTCTCGAAGGTAGTGGTCGTAGGCGAGGAAGGACGCTCGACAAATTCGGAGTCGAGAAACGGTGGCCCGCAGTGCCATGGCCATCCACTTGCAGTCCTCGGCCGGCCGTTGGTTGGGCATGCCAATCCAGAGGACTTTTCTTGAGTCCTGGTTCCACGTTTTCGATTGCTCCGTCTTCAAATACACTTCGTTGAGGTAGAGTTCTTCTAGAGTTTCACCAAATATCTCCGCTGCCTTCAGAAAACATTCTGGCAAAATTTCTATTCGCTTCAGCTCGAGGCTGGTCAGATTGGAAAGATAGACTCGCGGTGCCGGCAGGGAACGAGCCCTCCAATCCTCAACTGGTAGTTGCCAAAACTTGGTTTGCTTCAACCCCCGCGGGGGACGATCATCGTGGTCCGTTCCTACGAGGCAGAGCGACTTAAGAGAGTCGGCATGCTCAATCAGGTCCCACAGGCAAGAGCCAAACAAAGCTGCTCGGTGAGGCTCAATGTCGTGTCGTCGCAGGGTCATGACCAAGTGTTCTAATACTGCCACCACAGCCATGATGTTCATGACATCGCTCGGGTTCATCCAGAGGTGGCATATGGCAACATCGGTGACGTTTTCGAGCACAAGAACTCTGAGATTGGCCGAGTCCTCCTCTGGACGCGATGCAAGGGCTTTGAGTGTGTTGGCAAGGATCATGGTCGCCACATTGCAGTGCCGCCCAACTAGCTGGAATGGAAGGTTGAGGCGGAGGCTGTCGACGCCACGGCAATAGAAGAGCATCGTCTCGACCATGCTCAAGTATTCGATTTCGGTAAAGGAGGTTTTGTTCATGCAGTACTTTTTGTGCATGGTTTGGCAGAAGTCTGTCATGGAAGGGATGCGGGCAAAGACTGTCTCGAGAAATTCAACTTCCACTACAGGAGAGTTAGCTAGCATGCTAATGAGAGGAGGCGGGTAGGGGGTAAGGGGAGACATACTCTCATCTCGAAGAACCATCAGGTCAATGTACAGGCTCTTGCAGTGATATCCGATGGTCTGAAGGGCATCTACATCAGGTCGGCGCAGGTGACTGGCTCGGCTCATTCGGGAAAAGTCCAGTCCAAGAGTGCAGCAAACAGACGGCTTCAAGATCCTATCGAATAAGCGGCAAACGAGGCGGAGATTGAGGACGGAGTTCTTTTGTCCCTGGGCGATGCATTGCTGCAGAATGGCATCTATCAGCTCTCTCGGGAGACGGTCCATGTCATCTAGCGAGGAGAAAGCGGGCAAGCCAAGCTGCAAGCTTCATTCGGGTGAGTGATGCTGTGTGTAGCCAAAGTGGAAGAAGCTGGGTAGGCACAGAGTGAGGAAGGGAAGCATGATGCTGTTGGAGAGAACTACTGAAGCTGGGTGACGGATCAATTGATGAAATGCGAAAAGATGACGTGCAGGCAGGATCAAGGAAGGGCACAGGGGTCAACTGGCCTGCTGGCTCAAGGTCAGTGGCGCGTGGGCGATTGACATGTACTTGTAGGCAGGGTCGCCTGGCATGTCCTGGGACACCGTAGCCTCCAAAGCCAATTGCTGAAGCCCCTGGACTACAGGGACCAGCCCTACGGGGTACCGGTTGACATTTCATGTTGAACCCCAGCCTGCACACCAGCTGAGAGCATCCACGGATGTAGTGGGAGGCAAGAACTATTTAACCGGATCACGTACCGGGCTGTCGCGCTTTATATGATTATATATTATGGTATAACAAGAGGTAAAAAAATATTTGATCAGGTCAAGTACCTGGCCGTTACGCTTTATATTATAATACATGTAGTGAGCAAATACATGTATTTTACCATGGCTAATATGTTAGCGTATACTTCTTAGTGGGTAAATATATTCCGCCAGAGACTGGTAACTAACTACATATCACCACTTTAGGTAATCTCAACTCCCGTGTCACCTTTTTTTCTCTCCCACTCTGCATTCAATGTTTGCAGAGTCGCAAACCGCCAACAGCACTGCAACACCTGCACAGCACCATTCAGGGTCACAAGTTGCACTGTCCGCTCCTTCACCTTTATAGTGGCTCTATTATTCATATAGACGACAAACAAGCACCCTCCTTTTCGGCCGCTCTCTGTCCACGCTCGAGCATGGTCTCGGGCTTCAAAAAGAAACTCTTGCGCGTAAAGGACTTTGCTCAATCAATTCTAGGTCGCAGCACCTCTGTCCGAGAATCGATCGAGAAGGACGACCCTACATCCTCCAACAACACGAATGTCAGTCCCTCGGGCGCAGCGCCAACCAGAATCATGACCGAGTCGGCCCAGGATGCCACCGAGACGTCTTCTCAACACAGCCTGAAGCGCACGAGTCCTCACGATGAAAAGGACGCCGGCGAGTGGCAAGTTGTCACGCGGCCAAGCAAAAAGGCCAAAAAAACCCCGCGGCCAGGGAAAAGCTACCCGGCTCTCAAATTCTCCACCAATGCCCGGCTGCAGTCCAAGATTAACTTGAACAACCTTCGAGACTTGGTGACATATATCTTTGCAGACGGCACAGGCCCGCAATGGATCGCCGTCTCTCACCGGCCGCACTTCCGCAAGATTGTCGCCATCATGATTCCCGGGCTGGAAGAGGCCATGTTCAAGAAAAATGTCGACTTGGCAACCTACAACGAGGCGAGAGACGACCCCGACGAGCGGCAGCAAGTTCTTACGTCGCCCGACGATTACTACCCGCGCGCTCTGAAGAAGGAGACGCTTCCTGTGTCGCTGGCCCCCTTTGCAGACATGTTTCCTCACCTGTGGCCGGTGAAAACCCCTGGAGACGACAAACATGGCAAGATGCACTCGCCCATGGCTGCCTTCCTCACCGCCCCAGCCCCCAAGGAGAAGACGTCCAAGCAAGGGGGTGTGAAGCCAGCCTCGGAGCCTCATGGATGGAGGAACGACAGGACGCCCATCACCCAATTCTTGGCTACGGCCGAAGAGCTCGCTGACAACGGATACCTCCTCCACCCGGCCCTGCTACCAGAAGGCGAACGCCGGGACAACTTCGTCGCACCAGAGGGCTGGGTAGTCACCAAGGTCGACAGGCTCGAAGATGGCGAGGTGCCCGACGCCGAAATCCAAAAGGGCAGCATAACAGCTGGGCGGGAGGTCCTCGCCCTAGACTGCGAGATGTGCATGACGGGCGAGAACGAGTTCGCCCTCACGCGCATCAGCATCGTCAGCTGGGACGGCAGCGTCGTCCTCGACGAGCTCGTCAAGCCCGACAAGCCCATTACCGACTACGTCACACGCTTCTCCGGCATCACAGAGGAGATGCTGGCCCCGGTAACCACCACCCTGCGCGACATCCAGGCAAAGCTCCTCGACCTCCTTCACCCACGCACCATCCTCCTTGGCCACTCGCTCGAGTCCGACACCAAAGCCATCCAGATCGCACACCCCTTCATCGTCGACACATCCATGCTGTATCCGCACCCGCGAGGCCCCCCGCTCAAATCGTCCCTCAAGTACCTCGCCCAGAAGTATCTCTCGCGGGAGATCCAAAAGGGCGGCGCCGGCGGCCACAACAGCATCGAGGACGCCAAGACCTGCCTCGATCTCGTCAAGCAAAAGTGCGAAAAGGGCAAGCTCTGGGGCACCTCGGACGCCCAGGGGGAGAACCTCTTCCGCCGCCTCGCCCGCGCAGGCACCGCGTATAAGGCTCAGGGGGGCGACGCGGCCCTTGGTGGCATCGAGGTCGGCAAGACGAGCGCCGCAATCGACTGGGGCGATCCTTCCAAGGGCCTCGGCGCAGGCGCAACCTACCAGCTTGGCTGCAGGTCCGACGAGGACGTGACGCGAAACGTCATCCGCGCCGTCAACGGCGACCCCGACGGGCTGGAAATCAAAGGCGGCGGCGTGGACTTCACATGGGCCCGGATGCGGGAGCTCGAGGCCCTCCAGGGCTGGTGGAACAAGAACCGTGTTGAAAACACCAACAGCGACGGCGGACCACCCCAAGGTACTACAAATGGCGATGTTGGTGTTCCCGCGGCGGCCGACACCACTACCGCCACATCGCCGCTTGAGCAGGCCTTGACAAGACTAACAGAGCGTCTCGTCCGGATTCACGCCGCCCTGCCGCCCTGCACGGCCATCATCGTGTATAGTGGATCGGGAGACCCTCGAAAGATGGCGCAACTGCAGCAGATGCACGCCCAGTGGAGGAAGGAATACAATACTCCGGGCAAAAAGTGGGATCAATTAAGCGTCAGGTGGACAGATGTAGAGGACCAAGCTCTTAGGAGGGCCGCTCAAAAGGCAAGGTCGGGAATTGCATTCGTCTCGGTCAAGTAGACCAATTGCAAAACATCAATGCCAATTTAGATGAGTAGAACAAAGAAAGAGTAAAATGTACTTCATTATGGACCGCCAGCTAAATCAAAAGATGCTGCCGCTCATTTCTCACGAATCCACCCTATCCTACCTGTACTATACGTACATGCACTCCGTCTGACTGATCAGATTCCCAACCTATCCATTTTTATGCAAACGATACCCCAATCAAGTGCACTTTTAGAATTACCCTCCCTCCCTATTCAGTTACGCTCAACCCCTCCAAGGGTGCGAAGCAAAAAAACAAATGAAAAAGAAGAAGACAAAACGCTCATCCCATCGCCATGAAGAATCAAGAGCCCGTCTTGCACACTCTCGGCGCACTGACTAGGCAAAGTCAAACTGTCGTGCGGTAAAAGGGGTAGATAATCCACCGTCTCACCCTGTAACACTGAGTAAAATTTGTATTTCGCGTGCGGTTATAAAGGAAAAGTCTATAAGTGTCGTATTTGACAAAGAGCCCGAGATAGTAAAGAGGCCGTTAATCGTCAGCTGTTGCATTATTATAAATTTCAGACAAAGAGAAAAATCTGGTGTTGTGGTTCAATTTGTTCAAATCTGCGCGCAGCCTGGTTCACGAGTGACGTGATTTTTTGCGCCCAAGGCTGTCAAAATCGTCTACGACCTCCGCAGAACTACCCAAGAGGTCCAGCGGCGGCAGTTGAGGGGGGTCGACACGATTGATCTCGTGTTGCTGAACCCTGCCATAACTAGCGTGCTTTTCGTCTTGCGTGCCACCTTGCAGGTCGATATCTGACAGCTCGCCGGGAAACTCCAAGGAGGATTTAGAAGAGAGGCGTTGCTTCCGAGAGGAGGTTCGTTCGAATGGCAGGGCTGATGACGCTGACAAGGTCTGCCTATGGCCCCTGGTAGACGCTCCTCCATCATGAGACGCACGGTCGGACGGCGCTGGAGATCCTGAACTTGTTGCAGATAGTCCCGGTACGTGCCGGTCATCCACTAAGCCTGAGATTCTCTTAGAACTTTTGCGTGGAATTTCTGGCAGGCTCAGTCCAAGCAGTTCACCTTGTTTGGAACCCCTCGGCAATTTCGAATGATCGATGTCTTCCTCTTCCTCATCATTATCGGAATCGGAATCGGAACCACGCGGAGTGCCATCATCCGTGAGCAGGTCTCCTGGCCTTCGCTGGGGAGACCTGGGAGGACGCTTTACAGGAGCATCGCCTTCATCGTCTGAATCGATCGGTCCGTTTCTCAACACACCCATGGCAACAGGGATACCTTCGGGGGGAGTCTCGTCTCCAAAACCTCCATTCCGTACCATGTCTGGAGGCATTCTAGAACTTCGAACAACTTCGAATCCTTTCCCCTTTTCCTTGCTCTTGCCTCCAAACAGTGTTCTGAACCAGCCAGTTGCAGTAGCCACTGGACCAGTGGGATCAGCTGGTCCAGTTCCAAGTCGTCGCCCGGGGTTATCCGAGTTCAATGCCGGGCCACGCACACCGTAGTAAAAGTCAACTTCACGTGTGGCGTAGTCGGGGCGGTTCGCAGGCAAGTTCATGATACCACCAGGAGGAGCAGGTGTTGCTGCGCGGGCGGTATCTTCGCCAGAGACTTCTCCACTCTCCCCTGCGGTGGCCGCAGTGAGAGCAGCTTGTTTGGGGTCTAGTCCCAAAGCATTGGGGGGCGCCGTATCCGAGTGTGTCGAATCTCGCAGGTTTGCGTTGTTGTTTGCTGTTCGGCGTGGCGGCCGATAGTAGGGATCGGATGGCTCCATATGACCGCTAGCTAGTATCGGACGACCAACTGTGGGCGATGCGACAAAGGAAAAGGTGCTCGTCTCTCCCGGGGTTCCGGGAATGTAGGAGCTGTTTGTATCGACATGGCGGTGACCGGCCGACCACATGTCAGCGCTATCAAGAACCGAACTACTCCGCTGGTTCTGTGCGGCGATACCGCCGTAGCTAGCCCCCGAAGCACTTCGAAGGCGGCCACTTGGTACGGAGTAGCCAGTCCTGCTGGCACCTTCTTCAGCATGCAGCATTGCCATGGACGACAGCTGGCTGGCTCTCGAGGGGGCGGTTCGATGCGTTTCACGTCGTGACAGTTGACGCATACCGAAAATCTTGGACAGCCCCCCCCTAGTCAGACCAGTGATGTCGTCTCCTCCAGCGCCTAACAAACGTGCTACAACTTCGACAATTGTTTGCAACGCACTCAAGAAGAACCCAAGGAAAAGAACACTGCCGTGTATAAGTAGGATGGCATATCCAATCCACCCTTTGGGTCCCTCTGTAACACCAAGACTGGGGGCAAAAGCGACCATCAAAAGAAGACAGGCGAGCCGGAGGATGGCAAACAACGTATGATAGGCGTTCATTGACGTAGATGACTGGAAAGGCCGGAACGCGTGAATGGTGAATATCTGAATGACTTCGCAAATGGCCAGCAGGACGACTTGGGAAATGCCACTAGGTTGCACGGCTCCTATAGCCACGCCCCGAACAAAGTTGAGTAGAACCGGGATCAGGGCAAAAGCGGCAGCTTCGTCAGAGTATGTATTATACAATGGTCCATATCGCAAGACGGTAGGCAAGTCGTCGAATAGGACTGATTTTGGTTTTGTTCGAATAATGAGTAGGAGGATATAGCAAGCAAAGGCCAAAAGCACAGCTATGGTGGCGGCAGCTAAGACAACGGTAAATGCGGGTGATTCGTGCGCAACAACCAGTTGGAAACACGACAGGGCAACAACCGGCATCAGCAAAAAGTTGAAGACAATTCGAATTACATTTCCGATGCTGAAGGGAATGTTTTTTGCACGGAGATCCTCCTCTGGAATGTTTTGGATCTTTCGGTACAGCCACTGAACAAAGAATCCGGCTTGGGTGAGGACGAAGACTGCTGCAATAATGACGCAGAGCCAGACCATCATGCCCGCCCAGATGTCGGCGCTCTCGGACATGCCAACCAACTGGCCAAGGGCATGTAGGCCGTAGCCATCCTGAGGGTCAGTGATGTAGATGCCATCGCGGACGCTCTGCCAGCCAGGAGCGTGCGTAACAAAGCTTTCGTTGAACATGAGTGCAGACCAACCAACCTGGCTCACGACGGGTTGAAAGTAGCCAGGATAGCCAAGAGACAGTGCGCCAGACAGGGCTATAAATTGAATATATTGCAAACAATCCCCGAAACCGGGTGTGACGAGTCGGAGCAGGTCGGCGTCCCGGCCATAGTTGGACGTCCAATGGAAGATGTTGGAGCTTCCCCATGGGCTGAAGATGGCAGCAAACACGACAGCGAAGCCACAAAATATAAGGACGATCAAAGGCACTATCTTAAGCACCCATGAGAGATTCCCGAGATCCGGAGTGATGGTGGCGGAAATGCAACCAATGTTGTCACCTCGTTGGTTACCAAAGATGATCAACATGGTGGCCGCAAAGGAAGCAAACTGATATGACGAGCGCATGTCATTTGTGATGTTCATCGATGGCAGATCAGCCAGGTCCCTATCGAAGTTAGTTTGCTGCTCAGTAGCATCGTCTCTCGCGCGCCGCCTCGCCGCCTGTCTGTTGCGTATCCGCACTTACACTTTGCCCGTGGTATTAAATACCGGAGCCAACGGACAATGCCCGCCAACCAGAGCCTCTTCACAAAAGAAGTTTCTATGACTCCATGGCGTGTAGGTGAGCATGCCAATAGAGCTCTTGACCGTGGTGCCGTTTTGATCGTTTTCCGAGTTGACAATCTTGCCGTCGGTCTTATTATCGTTGGCCCAATCAGGACTAGTTGGCGGCGGCAGCATCTGCTTGTTCACTGAGCCCGTGACATTTCCCCAAACAATGAACTGAAAGTTGTGGGTGTCATTTTGGGTGTCAAACTTGGCGTGGGCTTCAACTGGAACCCATTGCAAAAACGGCGGTTGTTGAGATTGTACCGAATCGGGAAGACAATTGGTGTACTTGATTTGGACGGCCGAAGCGGGACGGCAGGCGAGAGATAGGAAAATTATAATGGCGAGGAATCCAGAAGGAGTAGTGAGACTTGTTAGGAATCGAGACATGGGCCGTATCCATTTCCTTCGGCCCGGTCGACTGGTGCAACCGGGAGTCTGCCAAAGGCAGGCCGAGGCTGAGCCACGGCAAGAATCGGCAGGAACAAATGAACATGTCGATGATGAGTCCATTCGGGCTAGAGATTTTCGCCTTGGGTGGGAGCTTCGATGCTCTGCGGTCGACGATGGCGAAGTGAGACGTCTGCAGAACCAGCCGTCAAGGCGCTGCTCCCAGTAGCGCTCGCCAGCCATGCTGGGGCGCATGTATTTCGATGCTCGCCGCATTCAAAGGCAGCGCATCTTGGGGGAATGTTTCGTAGTTGAAGCTGTGGCAAGTCAGGGAAAAAAAAAAAGCGAGCGACGAGAGCTTGTTGTTGCGTGTGTGTTTCGTTGAGGCGGGACAGGCTGCGGACAGGAGAGCACAAGCCTCAAGAGAAAAAGGTGAAACAGGCCGTCGACAGCCAATTGTCTGCGCCTCCAGGATTCTGCGTAGAGAGAAGTGCAACGCCTTGTGCCACCCAATGTGCCAGAAAAATAAATAAAAATAAAAATAAAAATAAACGCTTTGCTCTCCAAGTGAAGGTGTCGGCACTAACAATGGAGACAAGCTCAGTATTGTATGGAACATACGGTGGAAGAAAAGAGAGAAGAAGCAGAGAGCAGTTGACTACGGATGGAGTCACGGGCGATGGGCACCGGGGACCGGGGGGGGTGTATGGGATCAGGCCAGCCTGGGATACGACTACCAAAGGCAGGCAACGCAGGCACCAGCACCAGCACAGGCAGAAAGCAGGAGCAGCGGAAGAGCTGGCTGGCTGGGCTGGCTGGGCAGCTGGGTTGCTTTGCTGGGATCGGCCGGTCCTCGGGTGCAGAGATGCAGAGGTGCAGAGGTGCAGAGGTGCAGAGGTGCAGAGGTGGCGGAGGCGACAATGCTCGAGTGGGGGGCAGGGAAGCGGCGGGTTCAATGTGGCGGTTGGCTGTTGGCAGCTGGCTGATCACTTCGCACTACCTACCGTCCAACCGTAGTTGCGGCTCCTCGCCAACAAGCCACTACTACGGAGTACCAGCGTGCTGTATCCAGCAACTTGTCCGGAGCATCGCCAAACACACGCAACAATGGCAAAAAGGAAAAAAAAAAAGAAGGAGCTTGCCAGATCCCTAGAGCCCAATGCTTCACCACACGCCGCCGCTCCTCACCAACCAATGAGCTACATATTTTTTTCTTTTTCCCGGGCCATGCGACGAAAAAGAGAGCAAAAATAGCCCGGGCTGGAATGTACTCGCGCAGCAGGGTCGTGGCTCGTGGCCGGGAATAATTTACGATTCACGTCGCAAACAGGAGATGAATAGTAATGATTTCTTTACGAGACAACACACACACTCCAGTAATCATCAAAACTAGGCTCTACAGCACCTGCCTCCCCTGTATTTCCTTCTGCGTGCAACAGTCTCCGGCGAGATGGGACGAAGTGACTCGGAGCCTTCGCCGCTCATCCCATAGACCAGCTGGAGCGTCTGTCGTCTTCCGTCGTCTCCCAAGTATCGTGGACGGTGAGACTTCAAGACCTTGGGACCAACTGGGTAGGGATGGGAGGCGGTGCATCGCGCTAGCGCAGCCTTCCTGAAACCTCTCGCTCCCTGCCGTGCTCTTTGTCTCTGCCCGTGGGCTGCCCGTGTTTGCCGTGGCTGCTCGTCAAGCTCGTCAAGCTCGTGTATGACCCTGCTCTGCCCGTCTCCACATGCCCCCATTACCCGCGCCATCGTCACAGACTTAACTAAATAAGAGCGCCATCATAGTAATCATCTGACGTCGCGTATGTGCATAAAACGCGCCGCACCCCCGACAACAGACTGTATACTCTAAATCCATGCAAAAATTGAACAAGCAAAGACATGCCATCCTCATATTACCTCAGCGTCTTATCGAGCGGCTCTCTTCACTGGTATGGCCCAAACTGCTCCAGGCAAAAATTCTCGTGACTATGGCCTGTGAGCCTTTCGAATACTCCGTGCAACTTGTCAACACATATTAGTTACCTCAGCTATGTATTACGTCCGTTCCGTACACTTGCTTCAACCTTCAACGCTCTACCACCTTGAGTTCATGACCCACTCGAGTCATCCTTGGTCCTCGCAGCCCCTGTGGCCCGCTCCGGCTGCGCTTAACTGCACCACAAGCTGGGCCCATTATAAAGTCAATATGAGAATCATAACGATTCCAGCAGTTTGATAAAACACATCATTGACAGAAAAGATCCGTCTCCCACACCTATCTGCGTTTGCAAATGCAATTTCATTCCCTTGCTTTTTGTGTATTATATGCCTTGACCGGCTCCAATCATTGCATCATGATGTCCATCATGAGTCGCCAGTTGCTGACCTGCCAAATACTCATTCATGTAGGCAGCTTACAGCATGACCACCACCCCACAGCCCAGCAGATACGAGCTTGCTGATCGGGTAACCCCGACAGAACGTCCTCTTGGGCTTGCTCAGCTTCTTGTTCCCGCTAGTCAGCCCTACATTTACCCTTGGCTCTTGACCCTAGTGTGTATTCCACGTGTCCCGGAATGTTGTATTTCTTCATCCATGAACCTACTGATGACTGCAACTCTCGTTGAACACAGTGGATATCTGAGAGATTTCGGAACGGGAGGGACATTTTCAGGTTTCCATGGTTTATGTACGCCTCCAACGGTGAATGGTGATTTATCTGATCTTGAATTTGTTGAATCTGTTGATGAACAATGGACATAAACCAAACGTTTGCTTACCAGCATCAATGCGCTCAAGTGGGAGCTGGTCAGTGGACATTCGCCTTACTTGTCTGTGATGGGTATGAAAACGCTGTGCCCGAATGGGGTATTCACCAGAGTCTTCTGTGGTCCATGCAAGCGTATTGTTGGATTGCGACGGCCTGTTGACAGACCGGGTTTCCCGCTCGGTCATTATCTTTATTGAGCCCTCACTTTCTTGGCGTCCCTTGTGGCCATCATTGTTATCAGGAAAGGTTGGCGTATGAACAGGCTGGTTTGGTAAACCCTGAGGGTTAAAAAGAGAAGGAGCCGGCCGTTTTGTGTAAGGCGCTGTGAACTTAGGTACTTGAGAATGCGACAAAGCCGACAAGAATGATTGTATGCTATTCCTAGGAATCCCATCACGATTTTTGCACTGCTGACTCAAAATAACGAGAGATGGATCTTCCTTGGTGAGACCAGGCCCAGCAGCCCGCCGCGAATAGACCTGGGATGGGCCGAACACACCTGCCGCGCTAGCCGCACTACCGTAAGAGATATGGTTGGTACCAGAGGGCACTTTTTTTGGACCGTTTTGCAGTGAGACATCCCTCAGAATCTCGTTATGACTTTGCTGAGCAACGTTTGTTACGGGGACGAATGAATTGCCAAGCTGAGGGCGAGGTCCAGTCTGCGTGTTGACTTGCTCATGTCTATATCTAGGATCTGAAGGCGGGGGAGTGAGCATCCGAAAAGAAATGCTATCCGAAGGTGAAATTACTTCGTCATCCTGCGTTTCCTGAGAACTTGGCCCTGCGAGATACAAAGACGGAGTTGTCCTCTCCGGCCCCTGTGTCCCAAGATCAAGAGTTGTGTTTGCAACCCGTCGCAATGACGGTACTATATCCCTTCTGCTTTCATTTGTGATATGCCTTGAGACTATTGAATCTGATCCTGGTGGCTCTGGAGTAGACTCCGCTTCTTCTCGTATTCTGTTCAAGGCGATGTCGTTCAGGGGCTGCAAGGCAGTGCGATTGGAAGGACTAGACTCGTCCAGTTGAGGGCCTACTGGGCTTGCTACTAGGGTTCCGACAGTTGCAGTACCATCATTTGCAATTTTGAAGTCGTTCTTTGGCAGGGACTGAAAGTAGTGACGAATGTTTTTTTTCTGGCAGGGATGTTGCTCCTGATTGTTTGTCTGACTGTCCCGAACAGAGGATGGTCCAGGTGAGATTTCCACTTCTATAGCCATATCCATGTTCTCTTCATCCGAATCACTATCCTCTTTCCTCCCCATATTGACTGTGAAATTCGTCTTCATTGTAGCTTGGATCTTCGGTCTCGCAGCCCTTGTGGTGTTTTTAAGGACTTGAGTATCGTCAAGGTTGTCATGTTTGCCGCTAAACTTATCAGTGGAGGTACAGGATAAATTTTCATCATCAAGCTCGGTTATGAGCTGCCATTTACACTCCGGAGCATCATGAGGCTGTGTACTGAGAGTGGCCGGTGGGTGTATAGCTGCAAGAGCCCGGCTGTGCTTTTCGTATGCTCGCTTACACACAAGCTCAAAGCCATCAAGGAGGCCCTTCTCTTCAAAAATCAAGAGCTCATCCTTCTTCATCGTGATGTTGGGGTCGTAGCTGCATGGAGGACATCGTATGTTGATTTGCAGAAACACGCCACCGTGTCTTTCTGCAGATTTCGGTGCTGTGGACCGGGATATGTGAGATTTCAAAATACTTGCCATTTTTTTGGCAACATGCCACGCAGCAGACATTGGCCTATTATCAATAGATAGATGCGCTCCCTGAACTTTGAAATCCTTGGGAATGATATAAGGTTTCTGGATATAGCCGCTAAACACCCATCTGGCAGCCTCTTCTGCCTCCATTTGGGATGTCGACTCTCTGTTGATATCTACTTCTTCATATACCTCGATGCAATTCACCATGCCATTCGCACCCAATATCTGTAAGATTGCCTCTCGCTTAAGATCAGGGGGCTTTGGCGAATAAGTCCACAGTGGTTTGCTATCCCCTATTATTTTCAGTGACATTTTAATATTTGGACGAGCAAAAACATATTTCCTTAAAAGTTGTTGGATTTGGGCAATACAATTCTTCGCCTGCTTCAGAGCATACTGCCTTCTGGGGGGGAGATTCTCAAAGAGCCTCGTAACTGCCACTGTGGTTCCAATGGTAGAGGAAACTGGCCGTTTGTCCTGGACACCACCTGTGCCGGGGACCAACTCGATTCGCCAGGCTATAGGATCCCCGGGTCTCTTGGTAATTATTGAAATGTTGGCTATTGAATTGGCACTTGCCAACGCTTCACCTCGAAATCCAAGCGTCGTCCCGCCAAGCTTGATCAATTCGCTGTACTCTCTGAGCTTGCTAGTATGTGCCCGTCTTCCCAGGGCACTGAAATCATCTATATCAATGCCACTTCCATTGTCTTTGACTGAAATTCTGTCAATGGTATTCGAAGAAACGGTTATCTCGACGGCGGTTGCTCGAGAATCCAGCGCATTGTCCAGCAGCTCCTTGACTAAATCGTACGGCGCCGTGATATTCATCGAGGAACCCAAAAGTCGAACCGTAGACTGAGGAAGAGGATGGATCGCCATTATTAAATGTATAGATTGTGTCTCGATAAAAAAGATATGCTTAAAGGAATAGAAACTTGTCACTTGTCAATTTGGTGAATCCGAGTCATTCTTGATAATGGAGAAGCCATGCAAATTCGCTACAACAAAAGATTTCGAGAAGCAGGAAATGCAACTGCCATCGCTTTCTGTGTTCACTGTTGAACCTCTGCTGAATACCGCTTGGGAAGGAGCTGCTGCCATGAATTGGGAAGGCAGGAGACAGGAGATGCAGTGCAACAGCAACCTGTTCACAACCAACATATTTCATCCTAGACAGAAGAAAATGAATTCGGATTCCTAGAGTCACCTCTTCACCTCCAAACAAAATTCTTCGAGACGTTCAAAATTGCGATGCTTTCCATCCAGCCATCTCGTGGCCTTTGCCCTCTGCTACATGTGATTGGTCAGCCTTAACAAAACCATCTTTGGCATCTTCAAGAATCCCCCACCAAACCGCGTGCGACCGACTCGGACCGAGAGCCCCCGCGACGAACCATCACACACAGACAGCTCTCCCTCTGTCATCACTCAGCATCGTCGTTCCAAGTCAACAAGCGATCTTCTTACCGACGAGCTGTGCAAGCAGAAATTTACCATGTCTTCCCTCAAAGGCCCTACCCCTCAGCAGCACGACGGCTCCGGCCTACGCATCGGCATCGTCCACGCCCGCTGGAACGAGTCCGTCATTGCTCCCCTCGTCGCCGGAGCCAAAAAAAAGCTGCTCGCCTGTGGTGTCAAGGAGTCCAATATTGTGGTCCAGTCGTGTCCGGGATCATTTGAACTTCCCTTTGCTGTTCAGCGGTAGGTTTTTGTAGCAATTAGTTGCGAGCTCTTTCAGCCTCTCCCAGATCTACGGACTAATTTAGTAAAACGCAACACCATGCTAACAAAACACAGACTCATCTCTGCCTCTCAGATCCAATCCACCTCCGCCGGCGCCCCTTCAGCAACAGACCTACTCGCCTCTTCAACAATAGACCTGACTTCACTCTCCAGCGGGGCCGCGTCGGGTGCCTTTGACGCCATCATCGCTGTTGGCGTCCTTATCAAGGGTGAAACCATGCACTTTGAATACATTGCCGACGCCGCATCCCACGGCCTCATGCGCGTACAGCTAGATACCGGTATTCCCGTTATTTTCGGCGTCTTGACTGTCCTTAGCGATGAGCAAGCCCAGGCTCGCGCTGGGATCAATGGAAAGGGCCATAACCATGGCGAGGACTGGGGACTGGCTGCTGTTGAGATGGGCGTTAAGAGACGGGAGTGGACTCAAGGAAAGATTGAAGGATAGAAACGAAGATTTCCGGCAGACAAAAGGGGAATGAGGAATTTCCAAAAATAAAATAAAACAAGTAAAATTTGGAAAATTTAGCTTCCTTTCATTGATTGTGGAATACAGGTCGCTTAACCGTGCTTACAGATGTGATCCAATGGCCATAATATTCACAACCCAGATTTTCAACCAGCTATGCATATTGTGTATTAGATTAAGATGCAGTAAAGGCTAGCTTAGCCAACAAAGAGAAACCAATGGTAAAGCCAGAGCTTTTCACCTCCTGACACGAAATGCTCCCCATGAGACAAACTTGCAAGAAATTCACTCCACCCACTTTAAATTATTCGAATTAGCACATAATACCCATAATCTATCATACGTGATGCGACGCGTAACCGCCTACTGAGTGTGAATAGTAGCCAACTACTCAAAAAATATAACAAGCCAATCGCCCATTGGCTTTATACAAAATGCCAAAATCTAGCGTTAAAAAAAGGTTTGCGGGGCCGTGGCCGTGGGAATATCCAACAAAACATGATTGTTTTCGTCTGTTAGTCCAAAAATGAGTATGTAGCCACAGGTGCGGGCTTGGTAGAGTGGAAATGGAAATGCAAAGGAAGCGCCAAGAGGCTGAATCTAGTTTGACGGATGTAGCCTTAAAAGGCGATGTTCATGCCGTTTTCCGTGCTCTTCTTACTCCTCCACATCGATCGCTTTTTGTCTCTTTTGGCTTTCATGGCTTCCCAGCCTTGCTCTTCATCGTCGTCTGAGCCTTCGTGGGAATTACCCATGAGCTTTACGGTCGATTTGCTTTTATCATCGCTCCAGTTGGAGAGGGAGAGGCCGCCAGACATGGTGTTGGATCGCACATGTTGACCAGGAAGAGGAGACAATGCCGGCGCTTGCGATACGGGCCTGTATCGTCCAGGCAAGCCAACATTACTTCGCTCAGAGGGAGCAATTGAAGGGGAGTAAGTGCCGCGAACGCCAGAACCACGGATGGACAGAGGTCCCTGTTGACGGGGTGCCATGAAAGAAGCCGAGCTGGGTTGTACCATGCTCATTGTACGCATACTGTAATCCATTCGACGGGGATCCATCATAGGGTCAGCCACCATGGAATGACGTGACAGATCGCCCATAGACTGGTTACCTGGCATATGACCGCTATATGGTGGTTGCATCGGAGACTGTTGCTGCGGTGGCGGTCCTCCGCCGTTTGGACTTCCCGCCATCATCTGCATGAACTGCATTTGCATCTGCATGAACTGCTGCATTTGTTGTGTCATTTGAATCTGCGCCTGGTCACCAGGAGTCAACATTTGCTGTTGTGGCATCTGATGCATTTGGGGCATTTGGGGCATGCCTTGCATGCCTTGCATCCCTCCTCCTTGATACATGATATGAGAAGGGATGCCAGTATATGGGTCATATCCAGCATTCCCGCCAACATTCATTGCACCGCCAATTAGCTTGTTCGGGTCAATGCTGGGACTGCCCCGACGCAGGGCTCTCGACCGCTCTTCGTTAGCGATCACGCCTACGAGACCGCCAGGAGGAAGAGGACCTCCCTGTGGTAGTTGGGGTGAAGGTTGTCTGGGATCGGCACCAAAGGTCAACGACTCCCTTATGGCAGGTCTAGCAATACTAGCTCCAACAAACGGATCCTGGGGGAGATTTCGAGCAAAAGCTGGAAGGAGGGAAAGACGGCGACCACTGACAGATGCAGAATCACCCATGACTGATGGGGCACGGCCGCCTGCAGGTGGCCCCACGACAGAGGCACGCAAGTTGGGGTTTGATCCGGACATGCTAAGTCGGGTCGGTGGGCGGTTCTTGGTCGGAAATCCATGAGCTTGAAGGATGGCCAGCGGGACATCTTCATCATCCTCTTCAGAAGAACCACCCGTGAGCGCGGGGTCCGGCGATAAAGTATTCAAGTGATTTAGGGCTGGTGCACTAGAAGACGACAACATGCCGGGTCGAACTGGTTGTCTTGTCGGCAGGGGTGTCGTATTAGTTTCTCCTGTAACCTTCATCATTTGCTGTCTGTAGACCGCCATATGAGCCTCTTGCTTTCGTCTTTGTCTCGTTTGCTGCTTTGACTTCTCCTGTTCGTCTTCATCGTCATCGTAGTTTATCTCATCGTCATCGTCGTCTTCCACCTTGACCACCGGGGGGACATTGCTGTTAGACTCCTGAGTAATACCCAGACCCTCTTTATCTTGTCGGTACTTTTCAAACTCAGCAGGAGTCATAACCTTATTGCGCGGAGGATTGGACGATCGCGGCACATATCGGTGCGAAGCTCGGTTAACTCTGGATAAGCTGCCCTCAAACATATTTTCTTCCTTTTCGAGATTCGGAGGCCTCGACTTTGAGACTGTCGACACCAACGATTCTTCGCCGTGTCGAGGGCGCGGGGAGCTGCTTTGTGATTTGTCATTGTTAGGGTCTGTTGACAAAAACTTCATCGCTGTAAACGACTCTCGTAAAAGCTTTGCGTCTTCATCCTCGACGATATCAGCCGGCCGACTCGAGTATTTGAAGGAGTTGAGATGCTCATGTCGAGGAACAGGTGGCGGCGGCAGATCTTTTTCGGGAGGTGTAGGTGAAGTAGGCGAATCGTCACTATATGTTGGGCTGTCTCGCTGGTTCAAGAGCGGCTCGGTTGATTTAATGTTGTCTGGACTGAGAGGACCGGGCGTGGCATAGCGGTTGCCGGTCAAAGACCTCGGGGCCGCAGAGTCTTGGTTGGCCATTGTTAGGGTTGCGGTGCTTGCTCTTTTGTCGAAGGTCTTGAACATGGAGCCAAAATCGCCGCCCAAATCTAGAGGTCCCTCGCTGCCGCCTCCAGCGCTAGTGTTGTTGCTCGGGGTTGCTGTGCTTGTTGTGGATGCAGTCAAACCTCTAGAGACTGCGGCACCGGGATTATCTTCGCCAATACTCAAAATGGGCGGCAGATCAGGAATGGGGTCCTGCTTGGGTGGGGGGATGGAGTGTTTCTTATGTCCTCCGAATGAGAAGGTTCGGGTGGCTCGGTCTAATAATCCAGCGCCAATAGACTTAGATCCGGGCCGGCTCGAGCTTTCATGTGGTGCTGACTGTGGCGGTAATCTGCCTTCATCGTGACCATTAGGGCCTCCCATGTCAGCGGATGACGGGGCAGTAGAGGCATTGCTGTGTCTTGAGGAATTATCGGTCGATGTTCCTTTGGTGGTGTTGGAGATGTTGCTACCGCTTTCGGAGTCGTTAGCCATCAAACTCGCTTCCACCACAGCAGGGTACTACAATAAAGTAAAAAAACGCCCTGAAAGGAAGGGTGCAAAGATGCCTATTACGAATGATGGGGCCCGATTTAATTTACTTACCGATTGATCTTCAGATCAGCAAACATATTATCCTCTGCCCCCAAATCGACGAGGTTCGTCTTGACAGGGAATGACTTTGATGGTTTGGCCATTCTCGCACCACCATCGAACGACCGCCCACCTGAAACTTCCGACCGTTCAATCACACGGAATGACGGCGCCTCTTGAGGGGCCATTGGAGCATTTTCGTGGACATCTGCAGCGGATTTCCGCTTGGTAAACGCAACTGAGAATCTAGGCATGTAGACTGCCTGCCAAATGCGCTATCTTGTTGTCCTTTGCAGGCTTCCGGCACACACGCATGCACGCACCAAGAAATTCGGCAGCCAAACACGGGTCGCGGGCGAGCGTTTTGGTTCTCACGTTTGACGAGAGCGGGCCGGGAAAATTCTCAGGTGGGAATTCGAAAGGGGTAGGTTTGCGATAAGAGGTACCACGGTCGCGCAAAACAGTACGGAACAGGGTGCTCCGACGGAGATTTTGACTGTATGCTGCTTCAGAAGCAAGGTGAGCGAACAACTGCGTCAAAAGAGTTAGTCATCAGTTTGAGAAGGTGAGTTGAGGACTTTTTTGGGCAAGACGGGAATCGCCGTCCAATATATTTCAAGAGGGATTTTGCTCAAAAGAGCCAGATATCCGCCCGCCAGCTCTGCATTAGCCACGATAGGCTGCTACGAAACCTGAGACTTTCCCCAAGTCGATGATACTATGGCCTGGCCGCGTAAACGGCGGATGATGGGGAGAAGGGGTCGCCAAGGATGGTGCAAGACTCACATTAACTTCGTCGGGAGCAAGATAACAAAAGGCCCGAAAAAAAAAATACCAGTACGACAGCAGGGCAATAGTGCAAAAGCATGAGGCAAATAGACAAAAAGAAAGAAGAGTAGGCTAAACACAGAACAGAAAAATGAGGGCAGGATTAGATGGTCCAGCGAACGTTGAGAAAGAGAATGTTGGCCTCTGGAAGAAGTGCAGAAGGAAGGGTCGAACGACAGGCACGGGGAGACGACCAAACGGCCAAGCCAAATTCGAAGAACGGGTCAACTGGCTTGGTGGGCTGCGGACGGTTCAATGTGTCTGGTTCAACATTCGACGTGGGCCTAGCCTGAGAGCGACAGTTCGAACGGCTTTGGGGGGGAAGGTCAACCAAACTTTACAAGGCCCAGAAAAAAATGGAGATGCTGGTCCGTTGCCCGCTGCCCGTTGCCCGTTGTCGTTGTCGACGTCGGTGTCGTGTCGTCGGTCGCAATCGGTTCAAACTTGCAATTATTCTCAAAAGGACTCGAGGCCTCGACAGACAAAGGCCAACCCCGTGCAGCAGCTGATGAATGTTTTGGACAAGAATGAGCGTCAACAGACCAAGGGGTCAAGGGGTCAAGACTTGAGGTATTGGAGAAAGAAGTTTCGGCAAAGCTGCCAAGTTTACGAGAAAGGGGATGGTTTCTCCCAGACGACGGAACAGCCACTGGCAACGAGGCCTGCAAGCCTGGCCCATGGTCCACGGCCGACCTGGACCTGGACCAATCTTGCGAACTCGGGAACATGGGCGACATCTGAAAGCACCAATCGACGCACAATGTTCGGGCCAGTGGCCACATTCGACATCTGGACACATGCAACACGTGTGCAGTCGATGGTAATATGTGCATTTGCATACTCCATGCCTCCGTCCGTATTGTACACCTCTCCCATACGGCCCGCGTACCTGGAACAAGGCGCTGGTTCCTTTACCACAGCATGTCGACCCCCCATCCGACGGGCTGAACACGGGCGCGGTGTCCGTGTATCGCATCCAATTATGTACCTACTTAAGTACCTAGCCTAGTAGGTAATAGGTATCGATGATCAACCATTGAGGCGCCAGACGCCGAGCTCCAGCCCCGGATGCTCCGGCCCCTTTAGACTACTCACAGGCACGCACACTCTTTCTGGTCCCTGGTGGGTGGCACCCTGGATGCCTTTTTTTTAATGGCAAGATGGGAACCACGCCGCATCCACACCCTTGCCAGGATATTCCTCTACCTTCCCTTGTTCATGTATTTAGCATGTATGTGTGCATGGCCCTCCAATGTGTGGAATACTGGCAGGTCAATAAGGAAAAGAGAGCAAAAGACAGCAAAAGACACGGGGCGAGGAAGGAAGAAACTCGTCAAACAGGCCAAAGCGATTGATGGTACGGAGTATGCCACCATCGATCCCCTTCCATTAAGGCGTCGTCCATCCTGAGGCAGCAGCCTTGTCTGCTTTGGGACGCAGAGCCAAATTTGTTATAATTCATGCGTAACAGCCGAAACAGCAAGCAGCCTACATACAAGGTCAGGCACCTGGTGGATAGGTTCCATCCAGACGCACATTGTACGGAGTAATGTACAATCCTCTTTGCTGCCTCACTGGTGGCTGCCTGGGTAGGCACGTAAATTGGTGGCCCCTGGGCGGTGTGTTCAACGTAGGGAGTACATGTTTCCGCCAACGCGCGTTGCTTTCAACACGGCCGGGCCTTGAGCCGAATACATTTTGATGCTGGTGCTGGTACTCTCGAGCTAGCCGGAGGAGGCGTCTTGTAGAGCTACCGAGCGAGACCCATCTGTCTAATACAATATTTCTGCTCATGACGCTGAGCTGAGAAATTGTGGGCACAACATTCGCCATCCCGTCTTCATCCGTCGCGCCATGTACGCAACCTACGAGGGGGAAACGTGGAGGCAGCTGTCCCGTATTCTGTCAGTGATTGCTTGCATGTCTGCTTTTGCTCTGTTGCTCCGTCCACAGTGCCCATAATAAAATATGCAAGGCGCAAGTGCCTCCTGGTCCATGGCGCTCCAACCGACAAACCGAGGCTCCTGATTTTTATCTGGTGTAGACACAAGCAAACTTGGGTGCAAGGCGAAACGAAGAAGAGCAAGTTGCTACATAGCGTCCAGAGTCTGGTGAAGCCATAGGCAAGATCCATCCCGTGTGTATCCTACGCCATAGCTACCGGTGCCGATCTCTGAACGCAGCTGGCAATGTGTATTCGACGTTAATGCACACCCTAGCCGGTGCCTCTTAATAGCACCGTGGTCGTCGTAAAGCTTGTGGCCACCCGCCCAATACGATGACGGGTGGCGGTGCCTCGTCGCTGGCTCCAGAAATGTATTATGGGGAATGTACTCCGTATTGTGCAGGAAAGGCCACATCCAGTACTCCGTCGTAGCCCTGCATTACTCGATCCGTTTGTATGACTGCTGCTATTTCCGTCACTAAAAAGGCGGAGCGCGTAGACAGAATTGCCCCTTTCTCCCCATCAATGCAATAGCACCTTGGCTGACTTTGACAGCGTCATTCATGTTTGAGGGCAAGGGGATAGATAGCCTAAGACCGTCAACTGTCCCGAACAGTGACTCGCAGCAGCACCTGGCGTGCTCCGTATGACGGACACAAATGTTTGACGGGTTATCGTGGCCATAATGAAGGTTACGGCCACGGACGAGACATGTCTATCCTTGTGTGGACGTGATTACCGCAGGCTTATGTTTTCGGTTTCTAGTGTGCTGCATGCATTTAGGCAATGGGATCGGCAACAACAAGCTTTCATCAGCGACACCGACTGGAACCCAACATGAGTTGGCCCCCCCCCCCCCCCG